GGGACCACGCCTGCCGCTGCCGAGGTGCCCCGAACGGCATCGGCAGCACGTTTTCGCTTCGAATCGCAGCCCGCCGTTGGCAGATTAACATTCTGCATGATTCCTCCTCCTCGATCCTTCGCCTGCTTGCTCTCTGTTATCCCGTCCCTGCTCGACCTTCGATCGACATACCCCAAGTCTGAGGTCGACGGTGCCCGCAGGGAAGGATGATATACGAGGGATGGAGGAGGGGAGGATGAGGAGGGACGGCTGGGCGAGGGAGGATGGAGGAGGGGGAAGGATGTGGAGGAAGAAGGGAAGACGGAACAGGAGGAGAAGGAGGAATAGAGGGAAAGGATGAGGAGAAGGAGGGGGAGGATGATAAGGAGGAGGCGGAGGAGGCGGACCGCATTTGAGAATATATTGACTACGTGGCTGTGTTGAGGCAGCGTTTTAACCAATCAGGAGATCGCATGTTTATGTTGCATTGCGCCCCTGCTGCGACCCAATGTATTGCATCATCGGCCCATGTTTTACGACCACATGGCACATAATTATAGTTACAATGATTTGTAACATGTCGGTCGGCCCGTTCCACTGTCGGCGATGAAGCTGACGGAGCAGAGAAGGTGCTGCTGCTTGACGCCAGCATGCTTGCACAAACGATCCACATGAGTTGTAGCAAAATATTCAAAACTTCATCATACGGTTATATCCATCATCATATGGTTATATCCATCATCATATGGTTCTATCCATCAAAAACAACACCACATGGTTAGATCCACGGTCCACGGTTCTAACGGATAGAACCCGGTTCCCCCGGGTTGGGGGCATGGCCTGACCGTGCCGGGTACCAAGCCGGCGGCCGCTGGCTTGGTAGGGGGGGGGCCCTGGAGGGGGACCAAGCCGGCGGGGTACCAAGCCGGCGGCCGCTGGCTTGGTAGGGGGGAGCACCTGGGGGGTACCAAGCCGGCGGCCGCTGGCTTGGTAAGAGGAGACCCTGGGGAGGTACCAAGCCGGCGGGGTACCAAGCCGGCGGCCGCTGGCTGGTAGGGGGGAACCTGGGGCGGGTACCAAGCACTCGGGGGTACTAAGCCGGCGGCCGCTGGCTTGGTAGGTGGGGGGCCCTGGGGGGGTACCAAGCCGGCGGGGTACCAAGCCGGCGGCCGCTGGCTTGGTAGGGGAAAATAACCCCAACCCCGCGAGGCCCGGAGGGGGATACCAGCCGTTCCGCTACCGAGAGCGCCAGATGAGCCCCCGCGGGGAGTAACAAAGCCGGCGGAGGCTTTACCAAGGCCGGCGGGCCAGCTCTTGGTAGGGAGGAAACAGGAAGCCCCTGGGGGTGGGGGGGTGGTACCAAGCCGGCGGGGTAACCAAAGCCGGCGGCCGCTGGCTTTGATACAGGAACAGGAGGCCCCTGGGGGGGGTTACCAAGCCGGACGAGGTACGCATTACCGGCGGCCGCCTGAGCTTGGGTAGGGGACGGGCGCGCTTGGGGGGTAACGCAAGCCAGAGGGGGGTACAAGGCACAGGGGAGGCCAGCTGCTTGGTAGGGTGAGCGCCTGGGGGGGCTACCCAGGCGGCGAAGGCCGCTCTGGCTTGGTAAGTGGGGGAGCCCCTGGGGGGGGGACAAGCCGGCGGCCGCTGGCTTGGTAGGGGGGAAGACCCCCATGCGGGGGGACTCACGCCAACCCCGGCGGGACACAACCAAGCCGGCGGCCGCTGGCTTGGTAGGGGGGAGCCCCTGGGGGGGAGGGGGGTACCAAGCCGGCGGGGTACCAAGCCGGCGACCGCTGGCTTGGCAGGGGGGATCCCCTGTGGGGGTACCAAGCCTGCGAGGGTACCAAGCCGGCGGCCGCTGGCTTGGTAGTGGGGGCCCCGGGGGGGGTATCAAGCCGGCGGGGTACCACACAGGCATACCCTAACGGGCGGGTCGGGTCGGGCGATACGTTAAAGTATGATGAATCATCGAGCTGGCGCGTGCGTACCCTAACGCGCGGGTCGGGTCGATCGGGTGGGACAATAAAATATGATGCATAATCGAGTTGGCACGTGCGCACCCTGACGGGCGGGTCGGGCCGGGCGGGCAGGACATTAAATTATGATGCCCCATCGAAATGGCACGTGCGTACCCTAACGGGCGGGTCGGGTCGGGCGGGTGGGACATTAAAGTATGATGCATCATCGAGTTGGCACGTGCGTACCCTAACGGGCGGGTCGGGTCGGGCGAGAGACCCTAACGGCGTGCGAGTCGGGCGGCGGGCGGGGCCCTAACGGGCGGGCGGCGAGTCGGGCGGGCGGGCGCCCGCGCGCTCCCTGAAGCACCACCGCGCCACGCCACGCATGCAACGCCACCACGCCTCCTCATCCCCCTCATCCTCCCCCTCCTCCGCTTGCTCCTCCCCCCCCCGACCTCCTCATCCTTTCTTCCTCCTCTTCCTCCTCCTCTTCCTCCTCCTCTTCCTCCTCCCCCCTCCCCAGCCTCCTCCACCTCCTCCTCCTCCTCCTCCTCCTCCTCCTCCTCCTCCTCCTCCTCCTGTCCCTCCCCATCCCCCTCCCTCCTGGTATCGCTGGCACCGGAGGCTGTCGAGTACTGGGCGCTCTCTTGGAGGCGGGGCCTATTGAGTACCGAGTGCTGTCTTCAAGATGGGGCCTGTTGAGTACTGGGCGCCCTCTTGGAGACGGAGCCTGTTGCGTACTGGGTGCTCTCTTGGAGGCGATTTTCTTTTTTAATGCAACTTCGCAGGGGCCTCTCTGATATCGGAAGCTGTGGAGTACTGGGTGCTCTCTTGGAGGCGGGGCCTGTTGAGTGCCGAGTGATGTCTTGGAGACGGGGCCTGTTGAGTACTGGGTGCTCTCTTGGAGACGGGGCCTGTCGAGTACTGGGTGCTCTCTTGGAGCCGGGTTTCTTTTTTTATGCAACTTCGAAGGGGCCTCTCTGGTATCGGAGGCTGTGGAATACTGGGTGCACTCTTGGAGGCGGGGCCTGTTGAGTACCGAGTGCTGACTTGGAGATGGGGCCTGTTGAGTACTGGGCGTCCTCTTGGAGACGGAGCCTGTTGCGTACTGGGTGCTCTCTTGGAGGCGGACTTCTCGTTTAATACAATTTCGAAGGGGCAACTCTGGTATCGGAGGCTGTGGAGTAATGGGTGCTCTCTTGGAGGCGGGGCCTGTTGAGTACCGAGTGCTGTCTTGGAGACGGGGCCTGTTGAGTACTGGGTGCTCTCTTGGAGACGGGGCCTGTCGAGTACTGGGTGCTCTCTTGGAGGCGGGGCCTGTTGAGTGCCGGGTGCTGTCTTGGAGACGGGGCCTGTTGAGTGGCGGGTGCTCTCTTGGAGACGGGGCCTGTTGAGTACTGGGTGCTCTCTTGGAGGCGGAATTCTTTTTTAATGCGACTTCGAAGGGGCCTCTCTGGTGCAGGAGACTGTGGAATACCGGGTGCTCTCTTGGAGGCGGGGCCTGTTGAGTACCGGGTGCTGTCTTGGAGACGGGGCCTGTTGAGTACTGGGTGCCCTCTTGGAGACGGGGCCTGTTGAGTACTGGGTGCTCCCTTGGCGGCGGATATCTTTTTGAATGCATCTTCGAAGGGGCCTCTCTGGCATCGGAGGCCGTGGAGTACTGGGTGCTCTCTTGGAGGCGGGGCCTGTTGAGTGCCGAGTGCTGTCTTGGAGACGGGGCCTGTTGAGTACTGGGCGCCCTCTTGGAGACGGAGCCGTTTGAGTACTGGGTGCTCTCTTGGAGGCGGAATTCTTTTTTAATGCAACTTCGAAGGGGCCTCTCTGGCATCGGAGGCTGTGGAGTACTGGGTGCTCTCTTGGAGGCGGGGCCCGATGAGTGCCGGGTGCTGTCTTGGAGGCGGGGCCTGTTGAGTACTGGGTGCTCTCTTGGAGACGGGGCATGTTGAGTACTGGGTGTTCTCTTGGAGGCGGATTTCTTTTTTAATGCAACTTCGAAGGGGCCTCTCTGGCATCGGAGGCTGTGGAGTACTGGGTGCTCTCTTGGAGGCGGGGCCTGTTGAGTACCGAGTGCTGTCTTGGAGGCGGGGACTGTTGAGTACTGGGTGCTCTCTTGGAGACGGGGCCTGTTGAGTAGCGGGTGCTCTCTTGGAGGCGGATTTCTTTTTTAATGCAACTTTGAAGGGGCCTCTCTGGTATCGGAGGCTGTGGAGTACTGGGTGCTCTCTTGGAGGCGGGGCCTGATGAGTGCCGGGTGCTTTCTTGGAGACGGGGCCTGTTGAGTACTGGGTGCTCTCTTGGAGGCAGATTTCTGCTTTAATACAATTCCGAAAGGGGCCTCTCTTCAAAACGAGGACCCAGCAACAAAAGTTGGTTGGGGACAAACGAGGGGGGCCGCCCTGGGCCACGACTCGAGCGGGGAAGCGGCGCGGGGCGGGCAGGCGAACTCTTTTGGATCAGAGAGCAAGGCGAAGCGATCGCCTCTCAGCGCCCGCGAGAGCTCCGCGGCGCGCGCGAAGGCAGTCCTGCAGAACAAGCCCAGTGCGACTTGCGCGCGCTGCTTGAAACAAGTGAGGTCCCAAGAGCCTGTGTCCAGACGGCTCCGCGGCCGCCGGCGCGCGCGCCCTGCGCCACTCTCTGGAACGATCGCCCCAGCCCCCTTCTCTGCACCCTGCGCTACAATGACCCGACAGTGCCCAGTCAACCCGGCGCCCTTTCGCCTACCCCGCAGCCCAATTTAAGACCCCCTCCCCGACGAGAGCTCCAAGTACAGGGCTGCACCCCGCTGCGCTGCCTTCAACTCGAGCCCAATCGTCTCCGCCCCCCTGGATTCGCTCTGCGCGCCACGAACTGGCTACGTGCTATGATTCGCCACCCTGCCCCGCCAGTCGCCCATGGGTCCCGCGCCGACGCGCAGCGCGCCGCATCCCCACTCGCCCGCGGCAGGCACCCTCCCCGACCCCATGTCTCCCCCGTTCGCCCCCCCCGCCAACCTGCCCGCCAACGATCGGCGGCGCGCGCCAGGCGGCATCTGCGACAATGCAAGCCCGAAGCCCATAGCAGCTACCGCACGAGAACACGCCGTGCACGTCGCACGTCGGCCCGGCCCAACCTAAGGGGCCGGCTGTCCTGGCCCAAAAAATACCCGCACCCGGCGGACACAGAATTCCGCAGCACTGCGTGGTGCACGGTCTTGCTGCGCAAGTTAATCCACACGTGAGCGCTGTGTAGGTCCTGCTTCCTCATCGTCGGGAGAGGATCGCGCGGCGCCTCTGCCGGGGCGGCACGCTTGCCTGCCTCTCCATCCGGGGCCTGTTCAGGCGGCGGGGGCTCTGGGACCTCGCAAGACGCCCGGATTGTCTTCCGCTTCTTCCGCCAGCCCGCGCGGTCTGGGACATCGCACTCGCACCCCCCCGCGTACGCCGCCGCGAGACGCAGGCCCCCCTCGGCCGAAGAATTCGGTCCGCTGCGGGGGGCAGCCGGCGCAGCTTGAGCGGAGCGGTACGTCTGGATGGCGCGGTGGCAGGACTGCCTCCTGTTGTGGTCCCGCGCGAAAATGAGGAGCAGCAGCTCCTCGTGCACTGGGTGCGCCCCGGACAGGACGACCTGCCAGCGATTGGCCACGTGGAACAATTGCTCCACCGCTTCTGTGTCCACGCCCTTCAGAGAGGGGTAGTCGTCGGCGTCGACGCCAGGCGCGAAGTACGGGCTCGTCTTATCGCGGCAGCCCTTGCGATAGGTGAAATGCAACCGATCGACGACCCATTGCAAGCCCAGTAACCACGTCCAGCCGGGCGCGTCCGGATCACTCGGGGGGCTCTCGCGCTGCCGCTTGCGCAGGTGCCGCGCGACCGCGCAGGCGTTGTCGTAAATCACGCATGCCAAAGCTAGGAACAGCTCCCTGGTGGCCAGCAAGAACAACAGTAATTGCGAAATGCTCTCGGACGCCCACATCGGCGCAATTGCCGCAATTTGCAGGCAAGGCGTGACGGCCACGAAGATGCCCGCGGATTTGCGGCCAACCAGCAACTCGTCGACGTCCTTCCTGTCATCCTTGTTGCAGTCCGGGGAAGCACAAACCAAAAAACACAAACATAAAAAACAAAGAGAAGGAAAGACAAAAAAAAAATGTTGCAGTCCTCCTGCTGTTTCTTCTGCCTCGCCCGCCGAAGCAGCCACATCTCGTACTGCCTGACGTCGTCCGTGTTCACGGCCTCCCGCCTCGCCCACCCCCCCTGCACCTTGTACTCCAGGAGCACCCCGTCTTGCCGGACTGTTTTACGGTGGTCCTCCACCACGAGTGCGTCCTGGGATTGCTGCCACCGTCGTCGGTGCCCGCGAGCATACGCATGCCTCTTGCAATACAAACTGCCAGGGGCGGGCCGCTCCGTGCATCCCTTGAAATACCCCTCCCGAACTTCCGCGGAGAAGACGGGATTGCAGTCCCGGGCATTGCATATACTGGTCTGGACGCACCATTTGCCGTCAACGACCAGGGCCCGCACGCGGCGGAATAGCCAGCAAGCATGAGAAGCTGACGACGTCGAGAACGCCTTCCTCGCCTGACAGAGCAACGCCTCAAAATCGGAGCCCTGGTGGCGCGGCCGCAGACACCAGACGAATGCGCGAGCGTCCAGAGCGCACTCGGCGAACATCAATATGCAAGCGAAGGCGATCACGTTGATGTCGAAGATCTGCAGCAGGTGCGTCCTCGACGCGTACATCGTGCCGCGCATGGACGCTGGCCACAAGGTCTGGTAGATCACAGCGAACGCGGTGAAGCTCATGCCGCCGCGGGCTAGGAAACCGAGCAAGTAAGACAACAGGGTGACCTCAACGACGACCTGCGGAGTCGCAAAAAAACACCGGTTCTGCTCGCAGCAAGTGGAGGCAAGAACAGGCGAGTGAAAGCCTCGCGGGAACTGAACATCCTCTGGCACTGCTGGCCACTTCCAGTTGCCGGCAAATACGGCGCGGCACACTGTGCATCGGAGGCACACGAGCAGGTTGTCCTGGCCGAGCGGGCTGCAGTCTGCCTTCCCGCCCCCGCCCTAGCGGCCGCAGCTAGGCGCGCCGCCCGCGTTGGAGGCCGCGCCGCCGTGCTCGCCCCGCCCCTTGCCGCCGCCACCTCTTCGGCGGCGCGCGGGGGGGGAGCCGAGCGCGTCGGCAGCCCTCGAAGGAAACAGGACCCCCCCTCCCTCAGGAATCGCTCCTCTGAAGCCTCCTGCCAGGCATCCGCTGTCTCCGCAGATGGCCCCCCTGCCTCCTTCGAAGGCCGCCCTCCGGGCCGCCCCCGGCCGCGCGCCGCCGACCTCGGCCGCGGGCCGGGCCTTGCTCCTTCCGCCCCGAGCAGCTGTAGCAAGCCTGCGCCGTCACCTTCAGGCCGTCGTTTTCCTGCAAGAGCTTCGCGTTCTTCTCGCGGAGAGCCTGCGAGGGCTCTGCGCCCGCAAGCGCCCGCGGGCCGAACTCGGAAAGCCCCGCGCGAACACCTCCGAACACACCGTGGGCGGGCGTTCGAGGAGCACCGCGGGACCCTCCACTGGCGCGAGGGCGATTGCGCGCGAGCGCTCCCCGACGCCGAGATCTTCGCGTGGAGCGCCACCTGCTCCTGCAGGGCCAACTCCTTCTTGCCAGGGTAGTCCACGCCGCCCACGTGCGGGCCGCCGCGGTACATCGTGCGCCAGTAGCTCAGCTGCCCCCTGAGCGCCCCCCCTTCGCCCTGCAGGCGGGCTACCTCCGTCGTCAGGCCCGCGCACCTGGCAGACCAAGTGCGGTTCGCGGTGCGGCCCGGCGCCCCCGCGCGAGGAAGTCTGCGCTTTCTCCCGCAGGCGCGCACAGTGGCCGTCAACCCCGTGAACCAACCTCGTCTCCACCTTGCTGCAGGCCGCGTCTGCGTCGGCCGCCTCCTGGCGCGCCTGCGCCAGCTCCGCGCGCGCCGTCGCGAGCTCCTGGTCGCGCACGCCCAACGCCGCGGCCGCGGCGGCGGCTTTCCAGCGCGCTTGCGCCAGCTCCTCCCGCAGCCTGCCAACACCAGCGCCGCGCTCGTCCCCCGCGACCCCCGGCGCCGCCGCCGGCGCCGCCGCCCTCGGCGCCCCCGCGGCTGCGCGCGGCGGGGCCTGCTGGACAGCCGCCGCGGGCGCGGCCGCGCTCGCGGCCCCGCTCTCGCGAGTCGACCCACCGCCCGGCGCCGAGCTCTTCGGGGAGCGCGAGCGTGAGCGAGGCTTGCCGCCCTCGCTCGCCGGCGCCGCTGCCGCCGCCGCCGCCGCCCGCCGCGCCGGAGTGGCCGCCGGCGGCCTGGCGCCCCTGCCCCGCTTCGCCGCGACCGCGGCGCCGTCCTTCAGGGCGTCGCCGAGCGGCTGGTCGAGAGGCAGCGGCTCGCCCCGCACGCGCCCCTCCGGGGATCTGCATCCCAAGATGCTACATGCTAAATACCTAAAAAACAAAAAGAGAAAAAAAAAAAAAAAAAAATGAGAAAACTACCAAGAAACATAGATATAAAAAAAAAAATGAAAGCCACAAAACGCCGGCACGGAGACCATAAAACCCAGAGGTCCTCCGGAACCGGAGATTGGTTCCCGAGCAAACTTCCGAACCGGAACATTTTGGGCAGCAGCGAAAGCTCCGGAACCATCATCGCATCCCGGAACCATCTTACTTGAGAATATATATGTATCTATATATACACATATATATATATATATATAACAAATATGTATGTATATATATACATACATGTATTTAGATATAGATGCGTTATGTATTATATACATACGCATATACATATGCACATATGTAGACTCATAGTTCAACACGTATATATTGTGTATATATATGTTTGCATAGACAAACGGCGACAGTAATGTGGAATAGTTAGTTGTGTGTATATATATACACATGCATGTGTATATATACATGTATATCAGAGCACCATACCCAGGCCAGCCACAACTGGTACTGCTGCGGTGTTTACGCCCTGGGGGGGCCCATCGATTTCGACACCCCTCTCGAGAGATCGTCGATGCGATGGGTTCGTCCACGGGGGCATATAAGGACCACAGCTCCCCCAGTTATGGCTGGTCGGATACCGAATCCGCCTGCATGCAAATGCTGGGCTCGAGCGCCCATGCCCAGGCCACGCGGCCACGCTGGCCGTGACAAAACATGGGGGGGAGGAGGGCGATGACGGGGACAGGGATGGGGAGGGGGGGGGGGGGCGGAGGAGGAGGAAAAGCAGCAGGCGGGCTGGTTGCATACGGGCTGCCCCCTCAATCCCACGCAGCCCGGGGTGCTCGAGGCTCTCTCCCAGAGGAGGAGGACGAGGAGGAGGACGAGGAGTAAAAGGAGGAGTAAAAGGAAGAGTAACAGGAGGAGGAGGGGAAGGAGGAGGAGGAGGAACGGGGGGAGGAGGAGGCATGGGAGGAGGGGGGTGAGGAGGAGGAGGAGGAGGAGGAGGAGGAGGAGACGGAGGAGGAGGAGGATGAGGAGGAGAAAGAGGAGGAGGAAGAGGAGGAGGAGGAGGGTGACGATGATGATGATGATGATGATGATGAAGATTATGATGAAGATGCTGATGACGACGATGATGGTGGTGCTGCTGATGATGATGGTGATGCTGCTGATGATGGCGATGGTGATGATGATGCTGATGATGCTGATGCTGATGATGATGTTGATTACCATCATCATCGTGATGAAGCTGATGCTGGCGCTGGTGCCGATGCTGGTGCTGATGCTGGGGCGCCCCATCAGCACCAGCATCGGCACCAGAGCATTGCATAACATAGGACGGCACTGGCATACCACAGCTGTTAGCATTGGTCAGCGTCGCACGACAAACCACAACTGTTAATCACGATGCCCTTTCACTGAGCTTCACTTACACAAGTCTCAAGGAAACCCACTCCAAACACGGCAAGCACTGCGAAACCACGCTGAGAAGCCAGAAGCTGTACTAGGCTCTCTGGTCACGCATGACAAGTACCTTTCCATTATTTGCAATATACAAAACGTTGTGCACCTACAACTGTGGCGATGTACACTGAGGCAATCCCAGAGCGAGCCGCCATATTCCTGACACCGCCACTGAACAAAGCACATGCACGATCAGTAGTTGACGAAACCGCCGATGTGTCCATTCGCACTGAGAGAACACCAGACAATCTCGACGCCGCCATTGAGCGTACACCGTGCTGAGAGAAGCAGTTGGCGAATCCACCATGGTGTCTAGTCGGGCTGGAGGCCAAAAGACGAGCATCATCATGCACTGAGCGCTGCCAATGAACATACAAAATGCTAAGAACATCAGCGGATGAAGAACGTGTCGATTCTGAGTTGCCACCCAAAGCGCTCAAGGATTGATCGGACCTGCACCCATGGAACTCTGAGCTGCACTGAAAACCAAGGACAGGCCATTAGCGTCGGTGCAGACCTGCGCCCAATGCCACATGCACGCCGTATTGAGGCCGACGTATGGATTGAGTCTGTCCTCCCAGTCCTCAGGCCAAGGAGCATTCATGCGCGCCGCTTCATCGACGATCTGCACCGCGCGGTACTGCATCGCGTACTCGTAGAACTCCTTGTATGTGGATGGGCGCTGGTTGTTCAACGAACGCCTTGGCACGATGCCCCGATCAAAGACCATTCCGATACCCAGTTCCCGATCGAGCGTCTGGTGGTACATGCATCCAACCGCGCACCCGAGGGACAATGACCCGTCCCACTCGCCAAGGAACAGCACCTTCATCCGATTCGCCGTGGCTGCAGCACACAGCGCAACTACGTTGATGCTGCCGTCACCGTTTGGCGAGATGAAATCGTTCGGCCTGAGGGGGCCGTGGAGCTTCATGCGCACTCTGTTGGTCCCGCCGCCGCCCAGAGGCCTCAGGTCGTCTCCCGCATCATGGTTGCACTCCTTGGGAACGTAGCCAGGCACGTGCCCCATCTGGGCCTCGACGACGGGAGTGCCCCCGCCACGACGAGCTTCGTTCGACCGCATGATGGTCACAACAGACGCAGATGGACATTGTGCGATGACCGCCTCGAAGCACATGACCTCGTAGTGCAGCCTGCGCTCTGATGCGTTCGGGTTCCACTGCAAGTACTTCTTCAAAAGCCACTGCAAGTAGTCCCTATGGCCCGTCGGAGGGCATAGGTTGGACATGAAGATGAGGCTCGGCACCTGGGTGAGCCAGTCCTCCCGATGTAATTCGAAGATGTCGAGCTTCTTGATTTCCACGCCCATCGATCGCAAGCGAGCTGCTCCGTGCACCTCGAGCACGCCCGTGTCAATGTCTGACGCCACCCACCCATGCAAATGGAAAGTAGCACCAACAGGTTGTGCCATAGCTGGCTGCGCGCCGCTCGCTGGGCTAGCGCTGCTTGACGCCATGCCCATGTCCATGTGGATCACTGGCCCCGTCAGCTGGGGCAAAGAAAACACACCGTAGACTTTGTGTGACTATCTGGCCAGGTAATGCCTGGCAGCACCTAAGCCCAAATGGCTGCGGAGGTGCTGGAATCTGCGAAAGGGCCAGGCGGAGTGATGCGACAAGACACCCGAGAGGACTCAAGACCATACTGTGACCATGCCAGAGGGTATGCCGAGAAAGAGACTCCGATTACATTAAACATACGACAACGGCACACTTGACTTGGCATGGTCGACCCATCATTCATCAACTCCAAGTTCTGGGGAGCGGGGGGGGGGGAACAATGTGTGAGGAAGTGTCAAGCAGAGGCCGTCGTTGAGTGATTCCCCGCGCCAGCGCCGCCGATGCATCGCCGACGTCGCCTATGCATCGCCGATGCATATGCAATGCATATTGGCGACGCGGCGCTGTTCTTCGACCCCATCTATTCGATCGGACTCCATCTAGGAGGCTTCCAAATGGAGCGGGGAACTGCCTTGCCGTATTCGTGGAGCGCGCGGTTGTTGGATGACGATCGATGCCCTTTTCTTGGCGCAAGCTTCTCGGCAGCTGTGTCCTTCTCCAAGAGTGCTGCCATCCTCGACCTCTTCCTCATGATCTGGCCATCGCTCATCAACAAGTTA